AACTTCCATTATGTCTATAAACATGCCTAGAGTATACTTTGCTATTTAAACTTCAAGAAAATTCATGGAGTTAAGGTGGTTGAGATTGATGATTCTTTTTTGGGGGGGAGGGGAGGGGCATGTTTCCAAGACAGGGTTTCTCTGTGTAACAGCCCTGGCTGTCCTGGAACTTGCTCTGTAGACAAGGCTGGCTTCGAACTCAAAGATCCACCTGCCTTTCCCTTCTGAGTGCTGGGATTAAAGGAGTGGACCACCACTGCCTGGCTAGAGATTTGACTCTTTACCTTGTATGTTAAGACATCTCTTAGCAGAAAACAAGTGACACACCACTTTCAAGATGACTGAGTCACTAGAGAAGGAAGGAATGACGTCACATCTGACCTGTACTCCAGGCCCTAATGCCTTCAGTTGGTTGCATTAATTCATTAAAAAGAATTTTTATTTCTAAAGTGAAATAATAATTTAATGATTCGTTTTTTTACATTTATTTATTTATCTATCTATCTATCTATCTATCTATCTATTTATTTATTTATTTATTTATTTATATTGATAGAGTCTCACTCCGTAGCCCAGGCTAAGTTGAAATGAACTCTGTTGTCCACTTTGGACTTCTAGCTCAGCCTCCAGAGTGTTGGCATTACAGGTGTGAACCACCGCGCCCAGTTCATTAATTCATTCAATATATTTAGCATGTGACATATAGGTATTGTGTTAGGTGCTTCTAAAAAACAAGAGAGAAGTGCTGCCCTCCCGGAGTTCTCGGGGTCAATCGACGTGTGTGCCTACATTCTGGTGTACTTGGTTGTCTTCTTTTACTTTCTGTTTCTGTTATTGGGAGACTGGTTCTTACTCTAGCCCAGGCTGGTCTGGAACTCATTAGGTAGTCCAGTCTGGCCTCAGGTTTATGGCAATCCTCCTGCCTTATGCTTCCGAGTACTGGGATTAAAGGCACATACCAATGGTGCCCTGCTGAGGATGGGATACTGATCTACTTTCCATTTTGTATCATTAAGGGAGATGTGTTCCTCTGAAGAACTAAGATCTTCAGTTGTTTGTTGTTTCGTTTTGTTTTTCTTTCTTTTTTGGAGACAGGGTTCCTCCATTTCCTGGCTGGCCTGGAATTCACTATGCAGACCAGGGCAGCCTTGAACCACCTGCCTCTGCCTCCTGAGCACTGGGATTGAAGGCGTGCATCAAAATGCCCTTGCCAATGTTTACATATTTTTTAAGTCCCATTTCTTTCTTTCTTTTTCTTTTCTTTTCTTTTCTTTTTTTTTTTTTTTTGGGGGGGGTGCTTTTCTGTAAAACTTAGCAAGTTCTGGCAAAGGGGTTCAGAGCCTAAGTGCAAACCACTGCTCTCTCCCTTCACTTCAAAATTGAGTTGTATTTCTAATTACAATGTTAACCGACTTTTATATTTGTACTTTTCTTTTTTCTGGTGCCAGGGACTGGACCCAGTGCCTTGAGTTTACTAGGCAAGCTCTCTCTTGAGCCCAATCCCCAGCCCCTGAACCTTTCTGTATTTGACTTTATTGTCTGTAGTGAGTATGCACTGTTGATCGAACCAGAGAAAATATGAAGGCTAATTTGATTTCCTCTTGTCCAGTTCCTTCAGTTCTTAGCGGGAGTGGAGTAATGTGGCTTAAACATTAACCCAAGTAAAGTTTGTTCTTGCTCCTTCTCCAGGATGTATATTCTTACCTCTGTCAGCATTAATTCCCGCTGCCCTGCTTTCTAAGTTAATCCTGAATTAGCTCCCACAACCAAAATATTATTTAATTCTGTTCTTTTAAACATCTTTCAACTATCAATTCCTCTTTTCTTACAGGCAAGGTCTTACAGAGCCCAGGCTAGTCTCAAAGTCATTACATTGAAGGAGAGCTTTGAATTTCTGATCTTCCTGCTTCTATCTCAATGCTGGGATGATGCCTGAGCATTGTCCTGACTCGGCAGTGTGCTGGGGATCAAACCCAGGGCTTTTCATATGCTGGGCACTCAGGCTGCCAACTGAGCTACATCCCCAACTCTTTCCCCGTTCATCTCTCTCCTTATTCTCTCTATCCCACTTGGCCATTGCCTAAACTGGCTCTTTATCATCTCACCTATATTACACATCACCCTCCTAATTAATCTACCCACCTCCAGCTGCATCTCTGTCCAGTAAGGTCTTCTAAATTATGAGTCCCTCCTACTTAACATCCATCACTGGCTCCCCACTGTCTATGAGAGTCTGAATCAGAATGTCTCAGACACACTGGCTTTACACATTCAGCTCTGTCTCTTGTTGCCTCTCAGGAAGTGCCCTATTGTTAAGGATCCTCTGCTACCTCTGTGTTTCATGGATCTGGCTCCTTTTTATCTTAAGGGTTTGGATCTTGTTTTCCTTTTATTTTGAAAATTCCTCCTTCCTTTCCCAGACCACTCTTCTCCTACTTAGAAAGTTAGGCTCAGAGTGCCCCCTCTCCATTCTCCCGCCCCTCTACTCTAGGCCATCTGCTCCTGCTACATCCAGAAGAACAGCGGCGGTGACAGTGGTAGCCAAGGTCTGTAGGGAAAGCCTTGAAAACACGGACTTATTAAAGACAATGACCCTATCAGGCAGGCATTGCTTTAAGCTTCTTTTTATGGTAACGTTTGTTCCACTGTTTTCAAATGGCTTAGTTCACTCTCTTCAAGAGACAATCAACTTCATGTCCCTAGCAACTGGCTGTAAGTTCTGTAAATGTATCTTGGAATATGATGAAATTAGCAGAATTTAACTAAGCCTTGACCGCAGGATTAAGGGATGGGAGATTTTACAGGCCAGCTTGGGAGACACCTGGGTTCCAGTCAGAGGCTTTGGTGTTTCTCCAGTTGCCTTTGCACTAGATGGTTATCGCCACCCTCCTCGTTGCTCAAGGAAATGACCGAGAGTTACCTCCTGTCAACCTCTGTTCACATCTGCCCCCCAGGGAAGTACCCTGGACTCTTTCATCTTTTATTTCCACAGCAGCTACCCCCAATGCAGGTGACTCCTACTATCTACACCATATACTTCCCCAATGACTTCTTTATTCTCTTCGTTCTATCTCTGCTACTCTTCAGAGATTGTTCTCTATAAAATAGGTTAAAAATGTAACATAACAACCCTAGATGAAAACAAACAACAAACAGCTGGCTGGCCAGGTTGGCACAGGCCTTCCCAGCCGAGGCAGGTGGATTTCTGAGTTAGAGGGCAGCCAGGACTACCTAGTGAGACCATGGTTCACACCCCCCCAAAAAAACCCAACCCTTTCTTTCTTTTGCACTTATGAATAAGAATCCAAAAAACAAAAAACAAAAACAAAAAAACCCCAAAAAACCCAGGATTGGGTCCTGCTCAGTGATCCAACCTCAGTGTCCCCCCTCCCCCCAAGTGCGCTTCAGCCTCCTGCTCCTCAAACCAGCCAAAGTTGTTCAATATACGGTCCTTTACACTCATTGTCCTCTGTCTAGAATGTTCTTCCTGCCTATGGCTGCATAACTAATTCTTCTTCCTTATTTAAGTCTTAATTCAGATCACCCCAGAAAAAAATCACCCATGCCTTTGTCTTTATGAAAGTTAAGGGGTTGATTGTATGTAGCTTATGTCCTCAAATTCTGTTTTATGAAAACCCAGGAAAGCTTTTAAATTACTTACGGCACTATTTCACATCTTTTCCTGACCACTCTGTAGTTTCTCCTAACACTTACCACTACCCGCAATTATCTGATTATTTTTTCCCCCACTAGAAACACACACTTGCAATCACAATCACAGCGACTGTTTTTTTTTTGTTTTTTTGTTTTTTTTTATGAGATTGGGTCCCTTTAAATATCCCTGGTTGTCCTGGAACTCACTGTGTAGACCAGGCTGGCCTCCAACTCACAGAGATCTGCCAGCCTCTGCCTCCTGGGTGCTAGGATCAAAGGTGTGCACCACCACCCCCAGGAGTGTGTTACCCAGCTTAGTTTTTTTTTTTTTTTTTTTTAAACTGAATAAATGAAACAATGAAAAGGCACGTGTCTTCTTGGTGTGTAAAGGAGGTTGTTATAAGAGTCCCCACAGAAGTGAACTCCTGAGTCCCAAATGGGGACAGGAGGAGAAAGCACAAACAGCAGAGCCCTTCCAAATGCTATCACCCAACTGTTGACAGAAGCATTAATGTCCCAGAGGAGGCAAAAACTGGGCAGATCTCTGCAGAGCCCAGCTCTAAGGTGAGCAGTGCTGTTTGCTATGGGCAGGCATGGAACTCCTTGCTTGAAAGGTCTGCAGAGCAGGCAATTCTTTAAGGGTCAGACATTTGTTCAGGGCATCTGACCTGGAGAGGAATGGTCAACCCGACAGAGCAGGACTGACTGATTAGGGAGACCCGTTCACCTGACATTGTTTTGCAGGCCGACAGGGACTCTTCAGTCTCTTTCTTTTAGCTTTCTCTCTCACCCTTCTTTATCCTAAACTCACCCACATCTTTGCTTTTGAGAAGTCCAAGGCCTAAACTGTTTTTATCTATGTCCTAAATCTACCCCTATCATTTTTTTTTATTTATTCCCAAGGATGCTTTTTAAATTACTAGATTGTCCCATTACTTCCAGTGACTCATTTCTGTCTTTTCTAGTTTGTGTGTTAAGGACAGACTCAGCCAAGTAGAATTTAGACCACAGAGCGACTTATAACAGGTTTTCAGCCACTGCTTCTACCTCCTTCCTTAACGGTCGGTTTCAAGATCCCCGTTAGCGCCAGACACCCCTCGTCCCACGCTACCACGCAGGCTGCCTTTTCGGACTCTCAGGAAGTTGACTCGGTCCCCTCTCGGCCACCTTGGAGGAGGGGGAGGAGGAGGGTCGCGGTGGAGCCGGAAAACTCGGTAGCTGGAGAAGCGCCGCGGGTACCCAGGCGCTGGGGAGGGGGCGTGGCAGTGGGCGTTGCCCCGCGCCGCAGGACCACCAATGGCATCCCGGAGCTCGGGGCGATGCGCGTGACGCAGCCGCGGGCTGGGAGGTTGGGGCGGAGAACCGGGGTGGGGGCCAGCGCTTTATCTTCCTCCGCAGCCGGGCTGGTGGCGTTGCGGACCCGCGTCGGGACATCGTTCCGCAGCGACCCTCCCGCGGCTGTCCAACCTACCGCCCGGACCGCCGCCGCTGCCCTCGGGCCGCAGGTAACCCCCAGCTTCCGCTCCCCTCCTCCTCCTTTCCAGTCCAGGTCCACCCTGCGCCCGAGAGGAAGGGGGACTGCGATGGCGGCGCCGCTCCGGCTCTGCGGGCCTGGCTTGGGCCAGACTGTCCCGCGGAGACGCTGCCCGCCGCCGCCGCCGGGGGAGGGCGGGAAAGTTACCCATCGCCATCCTTTTCAATATCAGGGATGGTTTTGATGTCCCCCGAATCATGTGGCTTCTCTCAAGCCAGTCAGTAGTAAAGAAAGTTGAGAATTAGAAGTCATCGCATTCTTTGAAAAGCGACATCAAAAAATGCGCCCAGGAAGTCAGTTTTTTTCCTGATGTGGGCGGGGGAGATGTGTGTGAGGGGAAAGATGGCACTACCCAGACACCAGTCTCCATATGGGCCGGGGCACCAAAACCTTTAGTCAAGCTCGTGTTCTGTTTTTAAGTAGCAGGAGGGAGTTGTTAAGTTTGTCTTTGATTTTAAGTGTTAATATGCATGTAACTTAAGCGATATATATATAATATATATATATATATATATATATATATATATATATATATGCATTTGTGAGAGATTACTCTAAGCTCCATTCTCTGCATTTTCTGTAAAAGTCGTTGGTCACTGTAATATTTAAGTAGTTGCCACTTTTTTCCCTGCAAACCACTTGCCTTCTTCCTTGATGCAGAATCCAACTTGAGTATTTTTTTTTCTCTTGTTTGCTTTAAAGTGGGACATGTAAATGACTTGTTAAAAAGCCAGCTCAGGCAGCACTCGAGTGGGGATTGCAAAGAGCTCCTGATGCAGCGAAGAGTAAGCGGAGTAAACGTGGAGAAGCACACGGCTTAGTGTGTCACGTGCTTGGAACTGGTCAGGGGTTTCACGTTCCCTTAGGACTCAGACCAAGGGACTGAGTGCCTGAGCTCCTGCGGTCTTCAAGCCTGGGCCGGTTCGCCGAGCTCCAGCTTCCTTTCCTGTCCCTGGAAAGCTTCCTCTTATCTCCTGGAGCATTTCCCCCAGGCTGTGTGCTCTTTGCTCTTTCCCCTTCTCCCACCCCTAAGCATTCCTCAAACGAAAGATCACTTCCCTGTGCGAGCCACTCATGAGTATAAGCCTGCTAGCACTCGGCCTCTTACCAGCAATTAGTCCATCAGCTATTGCAAGTAGATGCCTTAATTGTTTTCTAGTGGATTTCATGAGGCTAGACTATCTTTTTTTTCTGTCTTCTCAGGGTCTGGCCCAGTACCTGGCTGGAACAGAACTAAAGAGCTGGAGGGCCAAAGAAGGAACTTTGAGAAAACATTAACTAGGGAGAGTGACTGTTTCCTATGGAAGTTCCATTTGTCAGACAGGAGACTTCAGTTGTTTTTTTTCCCCACATTTGCCCAAGTCTTATTAATTGACCCCGTTCTGTTAGTTATGTGAAAGAGTTGTAGGGTAGGACAAACCATTTTTGGAGGGGAGAAGATGAAGACATTATGCTTTGGATTGTTAATTTCCCCCCCTCCTTTCCTCCTTCCTTCCCTCCCTCCCTTCTTTCTATTGCTAGGCTCTCATGTAGCCCAGGCTGGCCTGACATTGTGTAACTGAGAATGATCTTAAACCCCTGGTTCTCGCGCCTCAACCACAGGTGTGTACCACTGTGTCCAGGGTTGGACTGTAAATTCTATCACAGTGGTTTCTCTTTTCCCCTGAACCTTAGGGTGATGTAGGAGTTCTTCACCTGCTGTAGATACCCAGTATTTATTTGTGATACAGATTTATAGGTTCTTTTGAAATCTTTGTTAATGAGAACATTGGAGGCAGGCTAAAGTTGACATTTCTTTGGGACATGAATCATTTATTTCTCTAATTCCTTTTATTTGCTTTCTGGAGACAAGGGAGATGCTTACCACAGAACATTACGTAACTTCCCTGTACAGATTGGTTTCTTACATTCTTGTCTAATCAGTGTGTTGCATTTTATTGCTTGTGCGTGTGTGTGTGTGTACACATATACACACATGCCACTGTGAGTATGGAGGTCAGAGGACTACTTAGTGGAGTTAGTTTTCTTCTACCTTTATGTGGCTTCTAGGGATTCAGCTTGGGTTGCCAGGCTGCATGCAGGCATTTTTCTCCATTCAGCTATCCCGCCAGCCCCACTGGTCAACTTCGTCACCTAAAAGGAAGATAGTTCCACCACACAATCTAATACATCTTTGCAAATGGCGTGGAAACCTTTGTGGTGACTCAGGCCTAGTGCTTTGGGGTAGAGAGGGCTGGCAGATTTGAGTGAGGCCAGCCGTGGCTACAGAGTGTGAGACCTTATCTCCTCCAAAAACAAACAACAAACAAAACCCCAAACAAGCCAAAAGCACCAACAATAGAAAAGGAGTGCAGGCCATCCGTGAACTGGTGGTTAGCTGGTGGCGCCGTGAGCTGGTGGCGCGGTGAGCTGGTGGCGCCGTGAGCTGGTGGCGCCGTGAGCTGGTGGCGCACCTCCCTTGGCGCCCAGCACGGTGGACGCTGCTTGTTTTCTTTTGCTGCTGGGCCTCTTGTGAGAACTGTCCTATGATCCATTTTCAGTTCCTCAACACATTTTGCAACCTACTCCAATACATTTGCCCTTTCTGGAACCAGCTGTACATGTCGTTAGTAAACCACCCACTGTTAGCTCATCTCCACATTGTGAAATAGCTGTCCCAAGTTCCACGCCCCCCCCCCTTTTTAATAACCTTTTTTTTTTGGTTTTTCGAGACAGGGTTTCTCTGTGTAGCTTTGCGCCTTTCCTGGAACTCACTTGGTAGCCCTGGCTGGCCTCGAACTCACAGAGATCCGCCTGGCTCTGCCTCCCGAGTGCTGGGATTAAAGGCGTGCGCCACCACCGCCCGGCTAATAACCTTTTATATATATTATATATAAACACAAAACAAAACCGTGCAAATAAAAATGTCATACACCATTCTTTTTGTGTTTGTTCTTTACTTGAATTTTCCATGGTCCTGACCCTGGAGGCTGAATCCTCCTATCCCCCCTACCCCCGACGGCATTCCTTGCTCCTTATTCTCCTTTCAACCTCTTTGCTAAAGTCTTTTTGCTGTTCATGTTTTAAGTGCTTCATAATACTGGGGAAATTGCTTCACCATCTATAAGATGGTGTGCTAGTATCTACTGCTTAGCATGTTAAATAAATGCTATGTAAACAGTGCCTGAGTATTGCCTGGGTGACCTGCCTGGGAGATGTCCTGAACTGTTTGTGCTGTCAGTGAACTTGCCTTAGCTGTTGGTGTGCACTGATGCATCTCAGATCCCTATCTTCAGCCCAGACTTGTGTGTTCTGCTGGCCCTTTATACCTTGGCTGGCCTGCAGACACGTAATTTTGGGTTTTTCTATTCTTCTCCCTATAATTAGCATAATGGCATTCCTAGCCTTTCTGAGTTAGCATACTCACTTGGGATCTGCGAACAGCTAGCTACCTTGCACCTCTAGCCAGCCACGCCTCAAAGACTTCTCTAATCATTTGTAAATTTATCTGATCTTCCTTATCTCTTCCCACACGTCAGGCGAGTCTTCAGACCTCATTGCTGTGTATGTGAGCTTGCTGCTGGCTGCTGGCACTCTGATCTTGCTTTTCTTTTTCACATCCTTCCCTTTGGTTCTGAGTACTCTTGCTCAAGATAAATATCAAGTCCTTGTCTGAGAACTTTTTTGTCTTTTGGGTTGAGGGCTGCACTGAGGGCCTCCCACATTCTAGACAGATGAACTGCGATTGAAGTTCACCCTGAGGTCCCAGTCTTCCTTTTTAACAAAGTGTAATTCTAGTGCTGTGTTTGAGAGGGAGAAGAAAAGTAAAAACAAAAGGACTAGAAGCAGATGGGAGACTAAGTAAGAGATTACCACAGTGGTTAGTGGAGATTTATTTTTATTTCTTTACTTAGTGTGTGTGTTTGTGTGTGACAGAATCTCAATACATAGTCCAGTATGTCCCCAAACTCATGGCAGCTCTCCTGCCTCAGCCTCCCAAGTGCTGGGGTTACAAGCGTGAGTCATGCCTGGCCTTTGAATAAATAGTGCTTTGAATGAAGTGCGGAGGCAGATGTGGGGAGCGATTGGAATTAGGTGTAACAGGAGTCTAGAGTCAGATGGATTTATCTTGGATTGTATGAGGAAGACTTTAATTAGGTGTAACAGGAGTCTAGAGTCAGATGGATTTATCTTGGATTATATGAGGAAGACTAGGTTTTGAGGGAAAAAGCCAACTTGTGCAGAGAATGACTGCTAGTCCTGTGAACCGAGATGGAGATGACCAAAGCGGAATTGGATAGAATGTCAGTAGTTCTAGCTGAGTGTGATGGTGCATACCTATAGTCCCTTGGGAGGCTGAGGCAGGAGGATTGCCTCATATTCAAGGCCAGCCTGGTCCATAGAGCAAGACCTGTCCCCTAAAAATAAGAGTGTCAACAGTTTGGATTTGGGTCATTTTCAAAATGTCTGTTGGACACCTACTGGGAAATGTCAAGTGGGATGGTGGGTTTGCTCATCATCAGACCTTGGTGGGGAACGCGGTATCGAAGAAGTGGTGTGTGGTTATCAGGGAGTGGAGCAGTGGTGGCTGGAGCATTAACAGTATCAGAAAGTGTGGTGGATTGAAGATCAGCTCTACAGAGCCAGGTTACTGAATGGATCTCTGAATAGATGCTGAAATTAAAAATATATATGGAAGCTGGTTGGTGGTAATGTACACCTTCTAATCCTGGCACTTGGGGGGCAGAGCCAGGCTGATCTCTGAGTTCAAAGCCAGCCTGGTCTACAGTTCCAGGATAGCCAGAGCTACACAGAGAAACCCTATTTTGAAAAACCAAAACCAACCAAACACAAACACACAAACAAAAACCAAGAAGCCTTAGTATCAAGCCAGGCCTGATGGTGTACACTCATAATCAGAGCACTCTGGAGGCAGAGGCAAAAGGATCTTTGCAAATTCTAGGCCAGCCAGGTCTACAAAGTGAGATACTCCACTTTTCTGCCCCCCCTCCCCCCAAAAACCCAAATATTTTGTACATATAAAGCATAAATATTTTTTTAAAAAGCTGTTTCTTTTTTTCTAGTTTGATAAGCATTGCACTGGTATACTGTCTCATGTTTTGAGTAATAAACTTGAATTTGGCATTCAGTTTTAATCATTTATTTTATATGTATGGGTGTTTTGCCTGTAGAGGCCAGAAGAGGGCATCAGATCCTCTGGGACTGGAGTTACAGGTGGTTGTGAACCACCATGAGGGTGCTGGGAATCGAACCCGAGTCTCTACAAGAGTAGTAAGTGCTCTTAACCACCGAGCCTTCTATCTCTCCAGCCTGACACTCGGTTTTCAATGTGTTTATTTTACTGTCTTTTAAATTTTTATGAGTGTGTGTGTGTGTGTGTGTGTGTGTGTGTGTGTATGTCTTTCTCTGTGTGTATATGCACGCTTGTGTGTAGGATCCTTTGGAGGCCAGAAGAGAGTGTTACAGGAGGTTGTGAGCTGCCCACCCATTGTGGGTGCTGGGATCTGAACTTGGGTCTTCTGCAAGAGCAGCAAGTGCTGTTAGCCACTGAGTCATCGCCTCAGCCCTAAGAGTTCCTATTTTTATTTTTTTTTTAGACAGGGTCTCACTTTATAGCCCTGACTGGCCTGGAACTCACTACGTAGAACTCCCAGAGGTCCACCTGCCTCTATCCCGAGTGCTGGAATTGTAAGGTGCACCGACACCCCTGGCCTGAGCGCCCGTTTTAAAGCCCACATTATCCCTTGTGAAACTCCTTTTTGCTGTACCAGTGCCCTTTTTATTTCTGATTTCTGTTTCCTTCAAAGGAATCCTCAATGTTCACTCCTACTTACCACTGCTGTGAATATTTCTGTGGGATAATTAGATGTTCCATGGTTTCTTCTCAGACTTTTACATAGATGACTTTTAAATCTTTATCAATAGCCCAGACCAAATTGTTTCTAAGTTTCTCCTTTGCATGTGTGCATGTTTATATGTATATTTTTAGATTTAAATTTATTCATTTTATTTTATGTGTGAGTGATTTGCCTGCATGTATGTGTGTGCATCATATGAATGCTTTCTGCCCACGAGTCAGAAGAGGACATTGAATGCCTTGGAACCAAAGTTAGAGATGGATGTGAATTGTCCGTCGTGTAGGTGCTGGGGATTGAACCCAGGTCTTCTCTTTGCGCCTTTCCTGGAACTCGCTCGGTAGACCAGGCTGGCCTCGAACTCACAAAGATCCGCCTGCCTCTGCCTCCCGAGTGCTGGGATTAAAGGCGTGCACCGCCGCCGCCGCCGCCGCCGCCACCACCACCATCACCACCACCCCCACCCTGGGAACTCAGGTTCCTATACTTGCACAAGGAAACACTTTGCCCACGACTCCCAACCCCCGGTTTTAGGTCTTTGCTACATTTTGAGTTAAATTTTGCCTAGAATGTGAGGTAAGCGTCTGTCTTAGCCTTTGTTGAGTATCTAAAGGCCAAAAGAAGTTGTTTTTCTTTTTATTCTATTATTGAAAAGTGTCAGTCGGTTTCACTTCATCCTGTCAGTCATCACTGAGAAGAGGAAGGCGCATGACACTGTTACCGCGTGGGCAAATGACTCTGACTCTGACTCTGACTCTGACTCAGCTCCTAGCTTCACGGCTTTTGCTTCCATTACCGGTGAAAAGACAAGCTGTCCACTAGTGGGATTCTGTTGTCGTCAAGTGTCAGCATGGAGGAGGCTTCTCTCCAGCCCCGAGAGTTCCGGTTTTAACCCTTTCTCACACGTGGAGTGTTCATCCTTCAAAGCTCAATCAAAGAATATCTCTTCTCTTGAATCCATTATCTCTATTACTGATCTAGCCTCTCTTTGAACTCCAGATGTTTGCAGTTATCACTACTGCCTTGGTAATCATGCTCTCACTTGTGGTATCACGTGTGACTGTTCCTAAGAGATGTCAAATGAGCATCTGCCTCCAAACTGGAATAGCACCAGCAGCCTGAGGAATGAATGCCTCATTCAAGTTCATCTAGATGGTCCAAAGAATTTACTAGGGATTACTTGAAGAGCTATGGACAACTAAAGACAGATGTATATGCCCTCCTCCTTACCCAGCCACATTGTAACGTCTACAACAGAGTGGCTCCACACCTAGCTTGAGAGCAGTGCCCCGTGTGAAGGGCAGTAGAGGTGACTGCAATTCACACCCCGTAACTCTCAGACAGCCGTGGTGTACGCACTAGGGGTGATTACAGACTCAGCCCCCTACATAAAGCACAGACAGGTGTGCTGTGGAGAAGTTACTCGCATGCGTACTTCATCATAGCCCTTCTGTGGTCTTGGAAGACACTTCAGTCATGGGGAGGATGGCTTGCAGAACAGTTCAGTGGTGGCTTGTGAAAGATGGCGTTCCTCTGGCTCGGAATCAGAGGAGCATTCTCATTACATATCTTTGGCATCTTCTGCTATTCCTTTGTTTTTGTTTGGAGCAGGGTCGTTCTGTATGGCTATCCTGGAACTCAGGATAGACCAGGCTGGCCTCAAATTCACAAAGATCCTGCTGGGGTTAAAGGCACGCGCCACCATGCCTGGCTCTTCCGCTGTTCTTTAGTTTTCCTGTGTTCAGTGCTTTGTTCATCTGTATTGTTGATTAAGAATGGGGGCTGTGTTTAAAAAGGGCCGTTGAGGCCTCCTGACCCATAAGGCCACGGGCCGGAAGTTCTGCTCTCTCTTCCCTTTTCTTCATCATGACACAAGATCAAGGTGAAAAGGAGAAGAACCCCATGCGGGAACTTCGCATCCGCAAGCTCTGCCTCAGTATCTGTGTTGGGGAGAGCAGAGACAGACTGACCCCGGCGGCCAAGGTGTTGGAGCAGCTCACAGGCCAGACACCTGTATTTTCCAAAGCTAGATACACCGTCAGGTCCTTTGGCATCCGGCGAAATGGGAAGATTGCTGTTCACTGCACTGTCCGAGGAGCCAAGGCAGAAGAGATTCTGGAGAAAGGCCTGAAGGTGCAGGAGTATGAGTTATGGAAAAATAACTTCTCAGATACTGGAAACTTTGACTTTGGGATTCAAGAACACATCGATCTGGGCATCAAATATGACCCAAGCATTGGGATCTCTGGCCTGGACTTCTATGTGGTGCTGGGTAGGCCAGGTTTCAGCATTGCAGACAAGAAGCACAGGACAGGCTGCATTGGGGCCAAGCACAGCATCAGCAAAGAGGAGGCCATGCGTTGGTTCCAGAAGTATGATGGGAGCATCCTTCCTGGCAAATAAATTTTATCCAAAAAACCAAGAAAATTTTCTCAGAAATGCAAAAAACAAAAACAAAAAACAAACAAAAAAAAAGGGCGTTGAAACTAGCCAACATTTGATAGCGGCCAATTTCTTCAAATTTGTTGCAATATCTTATACTCAGAAAGTGTTAAAAAAATGATTAAAATCAGAGAAAGATAACATGTCATCCGTTTTCACCTCTCTTAAGCATAGTAGTGATGAAATTCAACTCGCCAGATACTTAGTTCAAAACTTTTAATTTTTAAATGAAATTAAAGAAATCTTTTTGTGATTCTGTGGTTCAGATCCAGGGTGTCAGTCATATATGGGAGGCAAGCGCTGTACCCCTGAGCTTCATTCGCCCCCTGAGCTTCATTCGCCACCTTATTCAGATTTTTAATGGACACACAGTTAACTCTGCACATTTACAATATGCAGTGATGTTTGCCTGTGTACCCATCAGTCAGGACAATAGCTTGTCCGCAAGTCACCCCTTGGTGTTGGGAGCATGCAGCGTCTTTATTTCTGGCTCTTGTTCCTTCCTAGGCAGCTCGATGGTGGGAGAAGAAAAGATGTCACTAAGAAACCGGCTGTCAAAATCTGGTGAAAATCCTGAGCAAGATGAAGCGCAGAGAAGTCTCTCGGACACACAGAGAAATGGTGAGGTTTTTAATGTTTCCGAGGTAAATTGGTAAAAACAAGTTCACTGTTCTAGGGCAGGGCTTGCAGATTTTTACTACAAATGCGTACTGGTGGTTGTATATATCTGATAGTGAGTAAGTTCGTATTAATTGATTCAGTGATGGGCTGGAGAAAGAGTTCTGAAGTTCCGAGTACTTGTTTTAATCCCGGCACCCACAAGGCGGTTCCCGTAACTCCAGTTCCAGGGACTCTGCTGCCCTTGTCTGGCCTCTGAGAGCCCTGCACTCACAGGGCACACGACATACATGCAGACAAAACATCTTGTCTTAGTTAGGGTTTCTGTTGTTGCGACAGAATAGAAAGCAAGTTGGGGAGGAAAAGGTTTATTTGGCTTATAGTTCCACATTGCTGTTCATTACCGAAGGAAGTCAGGATAGGAACTCAAACAGGGCAGGATCCTGGGGGCAGGGGCTGATGCAGAGGCCATGAAGGGGAGCTGCTTACTGGCTTGCTTCCCCTGGCTTACTCAGCCTGCTTTCTTATAGAACTCAGGACCACCAGGCCAGGGCTGGCCCCACCCACCATGGGCTGGCCCCTCCCCCATTGATGACTAAATGAGAAAAAGCCTTCCAGCTGGATCTCAAGGAGGCGTTTCCTAGGCTGAGCCTCCTTCCTCTGACGACTAGCTTGTGTCGAGTTGACACACAAAACCACCCAGTACACATCCGCACACACAAAAGTAAATAAATAAAAGTTAATTCAACAAACATTTCTACTGTGTTTTAGATATCATCCATTCATTCAGCCAGCCTAGCCTATCAGTAATTATTGAAATGTCCTGCTGGATGCTTGGTTATAGTAATGATCAATACATGTGTGTTTGAATTTATGGAGCTTCGAGTTAGGTGAATGGCAAGCCCTCAAAATCATGCAGAGTTGGGGATGTAATTCACTGAGGAGACCCTGGGTTTGTTCCCCAGCATGACAAAACCAAACCAAAACGCACATAATTGAATTACTAAAAATAAGTATAATCTCATAAGTTACTAGTTATCCTTATATAGATATAATGAATATAAATTGAATAAGGAGTAGGGTCTGAACTGCTGTATAAGTCTTAGGAGAAAGGGAGAAATTAGGGCATTTATTACTTGCTTAGTGTATGAAGAGTACAATACAGTGCTTGTTAAGGTCGAGACTGAGGGTTAAGAATGGTAGATTCAAGCCGGGCAGTGGTGGCGCACGCCTTTAATCCCAGCACTCGGGAGGCAGAGCCAGGCGGATCTCTGTGAGTTCGAGGCCAGCCTGGGCTACCAAGTGAGTTCCAGGAAAGGCACAAAGCTACACAGAGAAACCCTGTCTCGAAAAACCAAAAAAAAAAAAAAAAAAAAAAAAAAAAAAAAAAAAAAAGAATGGTAGATTCAGAAATGCAACCCCCATGATGTCACCTATTGCATCAGGATATTTATTTTTCGCGGTGACATTTGTATAGTTTTGCTTTCATAGGGATTTGAAACTCGAGACGTGTTTGGTTAACAAATAGAGGAGGGACTTCTGGAGACCGGTTGTCTTTGGCATCCTCAGACTTCTTTTCATAAAGAGGCTCTCTTTAACCTTTTGTACCTTAATTGTAAGTATCGGCAGCCAGATCGCACCGGGACTGTGAATGAGGCTGTTTAGTTGGTATAATGAGGTTTATTGACAGACTCTGTTAGCTATTTATGACATATTGCACTTGGTCGAGTTCCACTGTGCTATTAAGAGTGCAGTCTATGCAAAGGAGGATGAGCCAGCATTGGAAAGAAGCATTCCCCTTCTCTCCATTATTCATGGTGATAGTCTGGGTTGTCTCCTTTGCCTGGATTCCCACAAATTAGTTTTCCATTTGTTTTTGTCTAATGTTAGTACTTCTTAGAGACAGAAGCGGTGTTATTGAAACTGTAATCATCATCATCATCACCACCATCATCATCATCACATACTATTCTCTTTATATTTCATTTTTTAAAAAGCTCTTTTTTTTTTTTTCACTTTTTTGCTCTTTTGTTTTGCCAAGAGGGTTTTTCTACGTAGTCTTGGTTCAGTCCTCGGAGTGTGGGGATTAGAGGCATTCGGCACCATGCCCAGTTTTCATGCAGGCCTTCCTGCTTGCTTGGCAAACAATCTGTTGAGCTAGATCCACAGCCTTGAGTTGGAATCATTCTAGTGTCCCCCCCACCCCCACCCCCCAGAGCTGAGGACCGAACCCAGGGCCTTGCACTTACTAGGCAAGTGCTCTATCACTGAGCTAAATCCCCAACCCCTCATTCTAGGTTTTAATACAGCTGTTATTACGTTGTTTAGCTTAAATTAAGAAGTGCGGCACCCTCCTTATCTTGGTGAAGGTAACGCCGACTGGAAAATTAAGTGTGTTTCTCCATTTTAACATCTGTGGAATCTGGATGAGTAAGCTGTGACCTTGGAATTTCAAGGGCTTGAAGGCCTTTGGCTGTGGCTGAACAAACAGGCCAACCTAGGAGCTGGTTGCTTTACGTCACATGCACTGAGTACAAATTTCGTTTTAATAGGATTCTTGGTGGTTCATATACACAGGTTCACACTTGAGATACAGCTTTTATTTAGTTAGTTGCATCCCCCACTCCCCCCCCAGACAGGGTCTCATGTAGCCCAGATTGGGCTGTAACTTGTTATGTACTTGAAGTTGGCCTTGAACTTTTAATCCTCCTGCCTCTACCTCCCGAGGGCTGGGATCATGGGTGTGCGCTATCGTAGCCAGCTTGAGACATGGCTTTTAGTGTGGCACCTATCATTTGGATATGAATGAGAATCACCCCTAAATGAAGAAACTCTTCAATACAGCAGCCTGAACTCTGAGTCAGAATCTCCTCCTGGGGGTCCCAAGGTGTGAAGGATGAAAGAGCCTGTAGATGGTACTGATTGGGCTTTGTGGTCAGATGCCTGACTTCATTAAACTTCACTGTATAAATTCCACAGGTGTCGTGGCACTGCCTTTAATCCCAGCACTCAGGAGGCAGAAGCACGTGGATCTCTGTGAAGCCACAGTGAGCCCATTGTCTCAAACAACAAGAAAGATAATAATAATTCTGGATGAGCCGAGATGGCTGAGTGTTTGAGAATGCTCCCCGCTCTTGCATAGGACCTGGGTTTAGTTCCCAGCTCCTCATAATGGCTCTCGACCATCCTAACCCCAGTTCTAGGGAATCTGACTCTTCTGATTTCCTCAGGTGCCAGGTGTGCCACAGTGCACAGGCACACACACAGTGCACAAACACACGTGTGCATAGTGCACAGGCATATATTTGAACAGTGCACAGATATACATGCAGGCAAGACATTCATACACATACAATAAATCTAAAATAAAAACAGTACTTGTATGTATATGAGGTAGAGGCAGGGAGGCTAGCCAGGGTTACACAGTGAAACTGTCTCCAAAGCAAATACCCAGAGTAGAGAGGGCTACTCAGGGAGAGGGTCGTACACGCCTGAGGGTGCTGTGGGCTTCTCAAGAGCTTCTTGTTTCCTTATCTGTGATCTCCGGCTGACATCGACCTTCAGAGAGTTTCTTCGGCACTTTTCCCTCCTCTTTTCCAGTAAATGAGATCATGTAGTTTCCTGAGGTGCCTTAGGTATGATTACAATCTGATAAGTAAAACCACTGGTCATAAAGGTTGCTCAAAGAGTGAAGACCTGTTTTCACTGTGAATAAGTTTCACATTCTTGTTTTGGAGAGTGCCAGAACAGTGCATACTTACATCTAGGAAAGGCGCCTGTGGTCCTAAGCGTGACCTGGTGCTCTTTGAAGAAGCCTTTACTGGTTTTCGGAGACAAGGTTTCTTTGTAGCCCTGACTGTCCTGGAATTCTGTGTAGAGCTATGTAGAGCTGCCTGCCTCTATCTTCCAAACCCTGGGATTAAAGTCGTGTGTGACCACCCGGACTGTCTGAACTTTCTTACTGGAATGGTCTCTTCAAGGGACAAACTCTCTCTGTCAGCAACCTTTATAGAAAATTTTAATTGTGCTGAAATTTTTATTTTTAAGATTGATTTGTATGTGTGTGTGTGTGTGTGTGTGTGTGTGTGTATGTAGGGATATGTGCATGTGTGAGTGCAATTGACAACAGAGGTGGAGACAAGAGAACCGGGAGTTCAAGGCTAGTTTCATCTACATAGCAAGTTTGAGGCTAGCCTCAGATAACTAAGACTTTGTCTCAAAACATACACACACATACACACATACACACACACACACACACACACACACACACACACACACACACACACGCACGCGCACACACACAAAACAAACAAAAAACAAAACAAAAAAACCTACTCTCTCAAAATTCCTAAGCTTAACTATTCTATAGACATGGAGATGGCTTTCAAATGATTCTTCTTTTTTTTTTTGAGACAGGGTTTCTCTGTGTAGTCTTGGTGCCTGTCTTGGATCTCACTCTGTAGACCAGGCTGGCCTTGAACTCAGATTCACCTGCCACCACTCCCAGGCCCCTCAGCTTGGTTTTAAGATAGCACTCCACCCCAGCTCTGTGAGCCTCGGGTTGCACTTCTCAGCTGCTGACTAGTCCTGCCAGAGACAGTTTCAGCAAGGCCAGTAGATGGGTTTGAGGCTTGTGAGAGCTGGCCCCCGGCCTGTGGGCTGGCTGCCTGCAGGTTTCTTCTCACCAGGCTTCCTGGTTTACCTTCTGGATGAGGTGTAGCCAACACCCAGCCACACCTCCTGTGACTCTGCATTTGCCAGCTGACTACCACACTTGAAGGGTTTCTGACACTCTTCCTTTCTAGGATAGAGTCTGTGTTTTTCTTTTTTAAAGATTTATTTATTCATGTATGTTATGTGTATGAGTGCTCTGTCTTCATGTGCATCAGAAGAAGGAATCAGATCTCATTATAGGTGGTTGTGAGACACCATGTAGGTGCTGGGAATTGAACTTAGGACCTTTGAAAGAGCAGTCAAGTGCTCTTAACCGCTGAGCCATCTCTGCAGTGCCCCCCTCCTGTTTTTTTCTTATTTTGATACTTTTGTACTGTGTCACAGAAGCAAATTCCAGCCTGCCAACTTACCTAGAAGTCTTTTTTACTTTGTAACTTCTGGTTTTATTTTGAGACAGGGTTCTTGAACTCACAGATCTGCCTGCTTCTGCCTCCCAAGTACTGGGACTAAAGGCTTGTGCCACCACTGCCCAGCCTTTATTTTGTGACTTTTAAGAAGCATTATTAAACAGGGTATGGTGTCACCATCTATAATCCTAGAAGCTGTGAACTGTATACAGGCAGATCAGGAGTTCAAGGCTAACCTGGGCTATGTAAGCTACTGTTTGAAAACAAAACAAAGTTACTTAGTTGGGCACTGTGGCCTGTATCAGTAATCCAGACTGAGGCAGAAGGATTACTGTGAATTTGAGGCCAGCCTGGGCTATATAGTTAATGAGTATCACCTTGGACAGCACTGATTTACCATGCAACTGGTAACCTAGAAAATAAGTATAATATCTGCCTTTTGGCAAAAATCATATTAAATACAATATTATAAAGCAATGAGAACTTGGCATTTGATCCAGGTTAAATTCCCGGGAATCTTAACAAGTCTTTATGCTATCTTCTTTTTTGCTGGAAGAATCTTTTTAGTATATACTTACTACCATTTTTCTTTATCATTTGAGACTCAATCCTATCTATACATATATACATGACATACATGTAATTATATTTATATAATAAAAATATACAATATATACATGTGTATATATATACCATATATATGGTGATATGATTTATTTTATTTTATTTGCATTGCTAGGAGGGGTCTAACTCAGGGTCTTAGCCCAAGCATTCTACCACTGAACTATATACTCCCAGCTTCTTAGCTCAAATATTGACTCTGTCATAGTTCCTTACACACACACACACACACACACACACACACACACACACACACACACCCCACTCCGTGCTCCTGTAGGCCTTCTGAGTATTGTAATCCCTTTGTGAACTTGTTCTAAGTGTCTAAAGGAAGAGTTTTATGTATACAGGGTGGGTTTGGGATGGATACACTGATGTCACCTGTGTCGTCACAGCGTTGCTGTCACCTGAGTTCTGACATGGTAATAAAGTACAGGATTGTCCTAGGGAACAGGTTTGGTGAAAATCGGCAAAGAAAAGGGGGAACAGAGAGAGGGTTTCAAAACACATTCAAGTAAGATTTTTGATACCTCAAGGAATAGGCTGTAGATTGTGTGTGTGTGTGTGTGTGTGTGTGTGTGTGTGTGTGTGTGTGTGTGTGTGTAAAACCTCAGGAGGGTCAGGAAACTTTCAGGAGTCGATTCTTTCCTTCTAGCTTGAGAACTCTGGTCCTCCAGCTTGGTGGCAGGCAGACATTTTACCTGTGATCTGTCTCACTGACCAAAAGAATTTTTTTCTAGACAGGTACAACAACCAGTGTAGTACAGTCTAGGAACAGTCTTTAGATGTGTCTGTCAAATGTGGTAGGTTTATCAATGTTAGCTAACACTTATTCATGAAGAATAAACATTGCAAGCCTAATTTTCTTTTCTTTTTCCTCTCTCTCTCTGTCTCTGTCTCTCTCTGTCTCTGTCTCTATCTCTCTCTCTCTCTCCTCTTTGTATTCATGGCTGCCCAGGAGCTCTCATCTTTAATCCCAGCACTCAGGAGGCAGAGGCGGAGGCAGAGGCAGGTGGCAGACCCACCCAGTCTACATAGTGGGTTTCAGGCCAGTCAGGGATACACAGTGAAGCCCCGTCTAAATAAGTAAATTATTTACATGACAGTGCTTTAGTTTTCTGACCCTCGTCCCTTCGATTTGCCCCTGCTGCTTCTCTTGTGGTTTTGATATCTCAAATGTTTTAGGTCTGTGACCCGGAGCTTCTCCTTTGTTCCTGGAACTCTTTATCTGTTAGAATTGTTGAAGGCCTTGGCTGATTCTGTGACCTTCCAGGGAGGCATTGTACTTATCTGTTGGCATTCTGGGGACACAGCTTCAATTTGCTTTCAAATAAACACACTTTAAGGTTTTTGAGATAACAAAAGTTTAGGTTGCGAAATCCACTGAAGTGTTGCAAGTTTTCAGGGAGACTGTCCTGTCTTTGAAGTAGAGACAGACATGTTTCCTTTTGTTCCCTTCTGTGTTGTTCAGGACCCCGAGGATGTGGTTGTATGGGTTCTTAGCTGTAATAGGCCCTAGGTTTCGCCATTCTGTAAGGCTGGGTGCTGTTCTGTGAGAGGACCACTTGATGTGTAGCAGCCAGTGTGCGACAGTTTTCTAGCATTTGGCAAGAATCCATGTGCCTGTCACATATACCTTAGGGTTCTAGCTTCATTCTATCTTTTGTTCCTGTGGATTTGGACCAGCTTTGCAATGAGTCTTTAAGATTTTTTAAAAAAAATTAATTTAATTTAATTGTGTTTATGTATGAGTGTATATGCACATGTGAGTGCAGGTGCCCTGGGGGCTAGAAGAGGGTGTTGGATGCCCTGGAGAAAGGGACAGACAGTTGTGAGCAGCCTGACTTGGGTTTTGGGAACTAGCTTGGGTCCTTTGCAAGAGCAACAAGCACTCTTAACCACAGAGCCTTAAACCCTCCATCCCCAGCAATAAGCCTCAAGAATAAGTTTTTACATCCTTAATACTTTACTCAGTATCTTCAGAGTCTCAAGTGAAGATCTGTTCTGGGACCCGATTTCTCACATTGCTGGAAGTGGACCCGTAACTGTGTTTGTGAGCGGCTTAGATTGCTCGTGCTTCCTCCTAAAGGGCACTGTTGGGTTGTACACCGAGTGTATGCATTCATCTTTATGTTTGTTTGCTTTCCACTTCATGGTTTATTGCTGCTTGAGAGTCAATGTAAAGCTCCGTTTTAAACATTCGGTTATTTTTATTTTCCTTAGGTCGCATTACCATGAAACAGTTGATAGCCAAGAAGAGGCAGTTGGCCGCAGAGGCGGAGGTAGGTAAAGAAACAGTTTAAATATTCTTCATTTATTTAGTTAGGTTTTTATCTTTTATTTTATTTTTTTTTTATTATTATTATTATTATTATTATTATTATTTTTGACAGGTTCTCATGTAGCCCAGGGCTGACCTGGAGCTCCTGACCCTCACCCTCTGCTCTTTCTTTTATTTTGTTACTGTTATTGGGTGTTTGTGCTGGGCACATAGATGGAGGTCAGATAGCAACATGCCAGAGTCACTTCTCTCTGTACCCATGTGGGTCCCAGGGATTGAACTCACGTCGTCAGGCTTGGCATCAAGCACCTTGACCAGCTGAGCCATCTTACTGGCTCAGCCCCGTTTCTGTTTCAATGTATTTTTAATTTTCTGAGACTCCCTGTTTAGTCCAGACTGGCTTGGAACTGTAGCTTCTCCAGCTCCATCTCCCAGTGCTGGGGTTGCAAGTGCGTGCCACCTCGTCCCACTTGTTTAAGAATTATTTGCCGGCCGGGCGGTGGTGGCGCACGCCTTTAATCCCAGTACTCGGGAGGCAGAGCCAGGCGGATCTCTGTGAGTTCGAGGCCAGCCTGGTCTCCAAAGCGAATTCCAGGAAAGGCGCAAAGCTACACAGAGAAACCCTGTCTTGAAAAAACCAAAAAAAAAAAGAATTATTTGCCTTGCTGGGTGGTGGTGGCACACGCCTTTAATCCCAGCACTCGGGAGGCAGAGCCAGGTGGAGCTCTGTGAGTTCGAGGCCAGCATGGTCTCCAGCGTGAGATCCAGGACAGGCACCAAAACTACACAGAGAAACCCCGTCTCGAAAAACCAAACCAAACCAACCAACCAAACAAACAAAAAGAATTATTTGCCTTTCTTATAAGTGGACATCTGGCTATGGAACAGGAAATAAGATCTGTCACTGTCATCTCACATAAGAATTCACTTTGCCCTTCTCTCTGGTTCCATCCATTAGTGTCATCGTCTGGCTTTTATAAGCAAATCTTTACAGTGAATGAACTCCACGAACAGCTGATGTAGATGTGAGTGCTTTGTGAAAATACCTGCCGTAGTTCTTACTACATCTGCTTCCATTAAATATTCTGAATCTAAAAGCTAATTACCTGTCAGGGAAGTAGAAATAATTTTAAAAACTAGTATGGCCATTTTAAATGTGGATGGACTGTCTTATGAACCATACCGGTTCGGCAGTGCCTTTAAATTCTAAAAATACCTGATTTTAATTTGATTGTGTTAAACTTTCCCCTTTCCCAGTGAGATCACTATCAAAGTTCACTGGCAAAATTGAAGATATAATCAGTATACAATGACCTGTTTTAGTTTTCTTGTTACCTTTAAAGGCCAAGGGGATGTTTCCCCTTCATTTAATTGTTTGAAATACAGTACTTTCTTGACCCTAGAATGGGCAGTGCTATCCCTGGAAATATTAGTACAAGAACTTATTTGCTTAATATTAATAGAGTATTCTTCACGCAACATACTCTAAGTGTATTTGTGATGTCTATTGAACTGCTTTATAAAGGGGTATTTAAAAAAGTTGTGTTTGGCCGGGCGGTGGTGGCTCACGCCTTTAATCCCAGCACTCGGGAGGCAGAGCCAGGCGGATCTCTGTGAGTTCGAGGCCAGCCTGGGCTACCAAGTGAGTTCCAGGAAAAGGCGCAAAGCTACACAGAGAAACCCTGTCTCTAAAAACAAAAACAAAACAAAAAAAAAAAAAAAGTTGTGTTTGTGTGTGGAATGTGGGAGTGTCACACATGAGTGTGGAGGGAGGTCAGAGGACAGCTGTGACAATGTTCCCTCCTTCCATCACATGGGCCCCAGGGATTGAACTCGGGTTTTCAGGTGTGGTAACAGGAGCCTTTACCTGCTGAGCCATCTTGCTGGTCCAGACAATGTCTTTTCTAACTAGTACTTCATCACTCCGATATAAAGACCCGTTTAAAGACTTATTAGCCCAGGTGGGAGGCATATGCATGCCTATAATCTGTAATCCCAGGAATTGAGAGGGTGAGACAGGAGGATTGCTATGACTTTAAGGCCAGCCTGGGCTACATAGCAGACCTTGTCTCAAAAATGTGGAGCTGGGGGGATGGGTCAGTGCTTAAGAGCACTTGTTCTTGCAGAGGACCCAAGTTTGGTGCCCAGCACTTAGATAGGCAACCTACAACACCTCTAACTTCTCTAGCTCCAGGGGATCTGACTTCCTCTTCTGGTCTCCACCGACACACATGTGATACACATACGAACATGTCTGTACACACATGCTTAAAAAATAAAAATAACTCTTTAAAAAAGATCACCAGGTGCTATATTTCAACCGAGTTGACTTAAGGATGAAGTTGGGGCCTAGAGCGATGGCTCGGTGGGTAGGAGCACTGGCTGCTCTTCAGAGTTTGAGCCCCAGTGCCTCTGCGTCTGCTTACAGCCTCCGTAACTCCAGTCCCAGGGGATCCAGCGGCCTTGTCTGGCCTCTGATGACACTTCATCCATGTGCTGCCCAGAAATACATGCAGGCAAAACACCCATCCACACAAAATAGTAAATAAAAGAAGAATGAAGCTGGCCTCATTGCTGATTGGCCCCAATACAAGTTAGTGTCACAGACTGGACCATGGTGACTAATGGGCAAATCTGTTTTCCTTAAGTGTTTACAAAAGTATGATAAAAGATTTCCGTAAGAGAGAGGAAAAAGCTGAAGTGGTGGGAACCTTTTCATACAGATTCCTGATCCACAGGGGAGAGATTGTGGCAGGGAAAGTGGGGGGGGGGGGGGGGGGCGTGGGCAGGAAGAGTACAGAACTGGGGAAAGTTAACTTTGGGGCCTTAGTTCTGTAATTTTGGGACAAGCCCTTGCTAGGTAGCCCGGGCTAGGCTTGAACTCAAAACAGTCCCCCTCCCTAAGCCTCCAAGTGATGAAATTACTAGTCTGAGCTACCATGCCTGGCTTATAGCTTTAAAAAAAGAGTACTCCATGTATCTGTTTTATTTATTAGTGAATAAACTCATCAAATTCTAGGACTTGTGAGATGCCTTAATGAGTAAAGGCTCTTGCTGCCCCGGCTGACAACCTGAATTCAGTCCCTGGAACCCACCTGGTGGAAGGCGGGAATTGACTCCCTAAAATTAATTGTTCTCTGGCCTCCACAGTTGTGCCGAGGCACTTGTATGTCCATACACGCAGTATTAATAAATAAAAAAAATGGGAAATCCCCTGGTTTGGTCATTTGGAATCAGGAAAAAGTAATAAATGATATAAAGAAGTAGCTGAGGAGACGGTGGGCATTAGTTTAGCCCACAGTATTAATTATGTGTATGGGACAAGGCTTCAGGGTTGTTGTGAGTTATGTTTCCTGCTGTTAGGGGCAGGCAGCAGTCTGAACACTGATTTGGAGGTAACAACCTCAACTGTGTCTTAGGTCTTTGATGTTATTTATGCTCTGCTGGGGAGCAATGGACGGGGACATGTAGTTGGAAAGTTGGGCTTACATTGTATTCTTTCCTCTGTTTCATGCCCTTGTTGGTGTAGTTCTCTACCTGTTTAACTTCATACCTTCACCAATCAAAATGATGCGCTATATTATTCTAGCTCGAATTCTAGCTCATTCTGCTGACCACAGTTTTTCTACCATCCTTGCTTTGAATATTTCCCCCCATCTTGTCCTCCTGAGTTTTCAGTCTATAATTTGATTGATTGATTGATTGATTGATTGGGGTACTGGAGAGAAAACCTAGGGCTTTACGCATGCTAGGCCAGCTCTCTCCTATGATGCTGAGCATCATCCCCAGCCCGATATGTTTGCTTGTTTAGAGACCTTGAACTCAGCTCTAGCCCAGGCAGGCCTCAGCTGCGACCTTCTGCCTCCTGTTTAGCTAAGATTCCAGGCCTGCAGCAGTGCTTTCCTGCATTTATTATGTAGTGCTTTGTTCTACATGAACCTCTACACTCTGTTTGATAAACTTGTGACTTGATTTAAATGCCTTTGAATTGGCAGTTGCGGGCAGGGGCATAGTAGTTTTGCTTGGTAGAGTGCCTTCCTAACACACATGAAGCCATGGGTTTGATCCCCAGCACCTCTGTCAAAACTGTCCATTTTTCTTTGACCTCTGGGCTTCCAGTCAAAGGTCAAATCTCACTTTCTATTTGGCAACGCAGGCTACATTCTTCGGAATTTCCTTTCTCGTTTTACTTAAATGTATAGATGCATGCCTCTAGTCTACCTTGGAGACTTTTGGGAAAGTTGGGTCATTGGTCTTTTTATTTCATCATTTAAAACTAAAATGCTCCTGCCCTTGGGACTGTTCGTTCAGCCTTTCAGATAAAGATGAAAGAGCTGTCCACGTGGACCAGGGGAGATGTGTTGGGTTAGTGCAGACTAACAGGATTTGGCTGCCCGTGCCGCTCTGTCCTTGCGCTGGCTTCACGCACTGTACAAGGTGGACGATAGAGCGGCTCAGTTAGATACCTTAAAGACCTGGGAGGTTGTGTCCGTAGTAAGGACTTCCCCAGTTTTAGAGGTGGTGAAGACCTCAGCTGAGGTGCTCTATGTTATCTTATTATTTTGTGGGGGTTTGTTTTTGTTTTTTTTTTTTTTTGAGACAGGATCTTACCTTGTAGCCCAGACTGACTTTGAGACAGTCCTCCTGCCTCAGCCTCCCAAGTGCTGGTACTGTAGGCAGGAACCACAATATGTCACCAATTGCTCTAATCTGTTTTGTGGTTAATGAAACCAAAACCTCAAAACAGTCAAAGGATGATGACTTGCAGGACGCTGATTGAGGAACACTTTCCACATGTCTTATTTAGTATCTCTGAAATTGGAATAGATACACTGGGCTATGTTTACAATTCACATCCCCCGCCCCCTTTCCTCCCTTCCTGTCACTCCCCCTCATCCCTCTGCCTCTGAAAACAGAGTCTCGTGTAACCCTGGCTAGACTCAAACTCACCCTGACGTTGAGGATTGTGCTGAACTCCTGATCTTTGTGGCACCACCTCTC